TACACACACTCCTGCATGAACTCCCTATCTAGGCTCCCACCTCTGTCTGCCTCTGGCATCCCAGAATTGAGGGGAGCATTACTTCAGGCTTCTGCCTGTATGGAGGGGAAACTGAGGTAGAAACCAAGAGATTCCCTTCTTCCCAGTCTGAAGGGAAAACTCAGATATCCTAACTGCTCGTCTCCTGTCTTAAAGTCCAATTTCTTAGGTTGGCTCCATGGCCTGGTTGGTAGGGCAGTAGGATCCCACATGGCCAGCCACGTGGTTCAAGTCCTAGACCCAGCAGCTTGAGAAATAGGCTGGGCATGTGTGATGAGTGCCCCAAATCCCAAAAGGTGGGAGAGATGGGGAGAAGGGATTGCAACATGACCATTCCCCACGGGACATGCTTTCTCCTCTCCCTCTCTGTCCCTCTCTCTGACAAGCTCACACATCCTCTAGCAAAAAAAAAAAAAAAAAAATCCAGCTTCCCTTACTCACTCGTACATCTCCCTCACGGCCTTGAAAGTGAGCTCTGTGACCCTCCAAATGCACCTTTGTTGCCCAAAGACCCTTCCTGTGGGCAGGCCTCAGAGTTGTCCTTTCTCACATTGTCAAAGAACCCTCCCATATCCCCGGGGTCCTGCTCCTCAGCAGGGTTGCCTGGCACCAGCATGGCCTTCCTCTGGGGCTCATATTCCCTGGGCCTGGAAAGGGGTGGGGAGATGTAGACCAAGTGGAAGGCGTGGCTCAGTCTTGTCTGTGCCCTGGGAGATCACTTCGTGTTGCCCTTTCAATCTGTGTCTTGTTTGCTGTCCCCACCTGGCCAGTTGCCCCAGCAGGTGTGGGAAGAAAGGAGGTGGAGGGTGGGGAGAGTGAAAGGGAGGTATCTTCCACGAGCTGGAAGCTCTGTGCCTTGCTCTCCACCCATTTGGGGGCCTTCAAAGCCTCGTTGGAGAAAGGAAGGTGGGATCTAAGCCGGCTGCTGGCTCTATTCCACCACTCAGGACCAGTGCTATGCCAACAGCATCTCTGGGATGTCGCGACGGGCGGTCCTCCTGCCAGACATCTTAAAGGGGTAATGTCCAGGCTACTCTGCAGGCCAGTGTGAACAAGAGGTCTGAGTCTTCTGGTACCATCTTCGGTGTGTCTCCCTTCCCTCTGCCTTGAGAACATGGTAGAGGGGAGAAAGGGGAGGGAGGAGAGCAGCAAAGGCTCTATTCAAAGCTGCAGTGTTAATAGGCTTGGGAGGAGGGACCCAGACCTTCGTACATAGGGACTAAGCCAGCTTTCCTGCAGCCTCTGAGGCACTGGGGCCTCCTCAGGGAGTAGGAGGGACTATTGGGGTTTCCAGCCACTCTGCCAGGAGATGGAGATAGACTAGGGTAGTAGAGACGCCACTCTAGGGTTAGGGGTGTCTCTGTGCTCACACCTGTGCCCAGGGTCACAGCCCCTCTCTGCTCCCAGGGTTCAGCTGACTCCTATACCAGCCGCCCATCTCTGGACTCAGACGTCTCCCTGGAGGAGGACCGGGAGAGTGCCCGGCGCGAAGTGGAGAACCAGGCTCAGCAGCAGCTCGAAAGGGCCAAGGTACCCCTTCTGGGCAAGGGATAAGATGGGAGGCTGTGCAGACGCCTGTTCTGAGGGGTCACAGAGCTGGATGTACTTGAGTGTGGAAGAGTGAGTGTATGATGGGCAGACGCTCTGCCCCCAACCCCAGCTCCTCCCCTGGGGCCTCCGCCTTCGGCTGGTGAGGCCTGAAGCTGGAAGGGGCACGCCAGGGTTCCTCTTACTTGCACTGATGACCAAATTCTCCAGCACAAACCTGTGGCATTTGCTGTGAGGACCAATGTCAGCTACTGTGGTGTCCTGGATGAGGAGTGCCCAGTCCAGGGCTCTGGAGTCAACTTTGAGGCCAAAGATTTCCTGCACATTAAAGAGGTGATCAACCCCCGTCCCCTAGAGCCTCTTCCACTGAAGTATCCTGCTCCTGCCCCAGACCCATTGTCTCGTACTTCAGTCTTCAGTCTATAAACAAGAGGTCCCCAACTCTTCAGCTCATCTCCTTAACACACACCTGTTCACCCCTCATAGCCATCAGGATCCCCCCGGTCTCCATCCTTCTAAGACCTGACTTGGGCCTCCTGCACCATAGCTGCAAAGTGAACAGTTAGATTACTGCCTCTGAGGTCCCCTCTGGTCGCTGTGATGCCTTACTATGAAACGCTGGCTGGCCCAAACCTGGCTGCCCTTCCCTTTGGCATCTCCTGCCCACTGTCCCTTATCTTATGCTGCCTTCCCCAGACCTCACTGACCGCCTCCCTGCCTCCTTCACATTGAGGAGCCTGGGCTGAGCCCTAGGCTGACTCCTCTCACCGCCCCTTCCTGCTCCACCCACCCCCAGAAGTACAGCAATGACTGGTGGATCGGGCGGCTAGTGAAAGAGGGCGGGGACATCGCCTTCATCCCCAGCCCCCAGCGCCTGGAGAGCATCCGGCTCAAACAGGAGCAGAAGGCCAGGTGAGAGCAGGGCTGTGGCTTAGCACACACACCCAGCACATGCACGTCACCACAAACACACACCCGGTTTACACCATACAAGTGCACACATAGCACCCATATTCCACTCGTTAAAGAAGATGGAAATGTGTACAAATATTAAGTGATGTACCAAACATTCGTTCCCTCTTCCCCCCCAACCTCCCTTCCTATTCTCAGGAGATCCGGGAATCCTTCCAGCCTGAGTGACATTGGCAATAGACGCTCCCCTCCTCCATCTCTAGGTAGCCTCCCCCCCCCCCCCCCCCCCACTTTTGGTGGGGCGGGTAGCTA